ACTGTTCATAAAGTGTTTACGACAGAAACAAAACCAATATAGTTCAGAAAACCAAACCAAAATCAATATTTTTTAGAACCATAATCAGATACCAAACCAAAGCTGATGTGGAGCTTTGGAAGGATATTATTGGTTGATTAAAATTGTCTATGTGGACACTCTAATATGGCTAGAATAAGCCCTTTTAATAGTAATAGATACTAAGATAATTATAATATATGTAATTATTCTAAGTATGTTTTTTTTTGTGCAACCATTTTTAAGTATATAGTATAAAACTAAGGCTTATACATCCAAGTCAATGGTTCTTTTTCCTGGTTTGGTTCTATATTCACAGGTAAGCACATCGTCAACTCAAAGACCAAATATCTCTCTATATAACTAGTTAAAAAACCCATCTTATCTTCATAGAATCAAAAGAGTAGAAGCCAAGTTAACACCATCAAAAAGATTCAAGAAGAAGAAGATAGAGAGCTTACTTCTTCAATGGCGAAAAAGTCGAAGTTTGCTTTCTTCTCTTCATCATCTCCCAAGTCTCTTCCTTCTTCTCCTTCATTCACTTCTTTCCCAGCTTCTCGTCTTAGCCAGAACTTTACTCAGTATTCCATGGAGGAAGCCGTGGAGAGAGCAGAAGCAGTCATAAGAAAATGGGATCCAAACACACCTTCCTTCACCAAGATCGTCTCTCTGTTCAACCATAGCAGAAAAGAGGCCAAAGAGTTCATCATATGCGTCCGTGACTTGCGCAAAGCGATGCACTATCTTGTCTCCCAAGACTCGCAATCACCCAAGCTTGCACTTGCGCAGACCCTGATGCAGATCGCCATGACGAGGCTGGAGAAAGAGTTCTTCCAGATATTATCTTCAAACAGAGACAAGCTTGACCCTGAATCAGTTTCTGCTCAATCTTCAATCTCCAGCAACTCTGAGTTTGAAGATAGTACGCAAGGTGATGATGACGATGACAATGAGATCAAGAAAGCTGGTGAGTCCATCATTCAGGTTGAGAAAGCTTCAGCTGTGGTGATGTCTGACTTAAAGGCTATAGCAGAGAGTATGATCAGTTGCGGATATGGTAAAGAGTGCATAAAGATTTACAAAAGGATCAGAAAATCGATAGTAGATGAAGGGCTGAGCTTACTTGGGATTGAAACCTACAGAGGCTCAAGGTTTTACAGAACGGACTGGGTCACGCTCGAGCATATGATCAAGAACTGGATCAAAGCTGCAAAGATTGGTGTTGTCACGCTCTTCCGTGGAGAAAAACTTCTCTGTGATCATGTCTTCTCTGCTTCAAATTCAACGAGAGAGTCATGCTTTTACGAGATTGCATATGAAGCAGGCATTAACCTTTTCAAGTTCCCTGAGTTTGTAGCCAAGGAGAAGAAGTCTCACGAGAGGATCTTCTCTCTTATGGATCTCCAGGCTTCGATCTCTGATCTCTCGCAGGATATAGAGATAATATTCAACTTCAGTTCAGTAGCTGGTGTGAAGTCTCAGGCACTCACATCTTTGCAAAAGCTAAAGGTTTCAATCCACAGTGCTCTCATTGATTTTGAATCAACTCTTCAGAAGGATTCGACCAAGGCTCTTACACCTGGAGGAGGGGTTCATAAGCTGACCAGATCAACAATGAGTTTCATCTCTTCTCTTTCTAAACACAGCCGTGTCTTGTCTGAAATCATTGCAGACCATCCGCTCCCGAGAAACACACGGTTGCTTGAAGCTTATGTGAGAACCCCAATGTTAGAACATGAAGAGCACAATCACGCACTCTCAGTACACTTTGCTTGGCTCATTCTTGTCTTGCTATGCAAGCTAGACACCAAAGCAGAACATTACAAGGATGTTTCACTATCATACCTCTTCCTTGCAAACAACCTTCACTTCATCATTGATACGGTCCGTTCAACTCACCTGAGGGATCTCCTTGGAGAAGGTTGGATCACTAAGCACGAAGATAAACTAAACGCTTACACTGCGAACTATGAGATAGCAGCATGGTCCAATGTATACATGTCTTTACCAGAGGAACCCACAGACCTATCACCAGCGGAGGCCAAAACATATTTCAGAAGGTTTCACACTGCATTTGAGGAAGCATATACGAAACAATCATCACGAGTTGTACAAGATGCGAAGCTCAGGGACGGACTGAAGGTTTCAATAGCAAAGAAACTTGTACCAGCTTACAGAGAGTTTTACAGGAAGTACATACCAATGCTCGGCCAAGAGAGAAACATCGAGATGCTAGTGAGGTTCAAGCCAGATAATTTGGAGAATTACATCTCTGATTTGTTCCACGGAACACCAATACTTGCCTCATCTTCTGTTTCTTCATCTTCGTCTTCTTCATCATCCTGGATATCACTTGACTGTGTTTCAGGCTACAGTTCTGTCTGAATATTGTTATTCATTGTGTGTACAATAAAAAATGAAGATAAACACACAACATTGTTTACATTATTTGAAATATTTAATTGAGTTTCTAATCACACAGAGCATAGTGTAAATGTACTGTTAAAAAAAGCATTGTTCACTCCTCAAATAGCTAGAACAAAAAGCAAAGAGGATACACAACAAAACAAACGGATTGAAACAATTACTTAGGAACTCCATGATCTGAAGGAGAGGATAAAGATTGCCAACCAGTACAGATTTTGATGATTTGCTTGAGAGTTTCCGATGGTGGCTCCACGGTCCATGTCGGGTAATGCTCGCTTGGATGGAACACACATTCTCCTCCGACCCCTGTCAACAAGGTAGCTTGAGCTCCGTTCAAGAACAAGTCGTTCTCAGATCGAACCAACCCTGCTCTTACTTCTTCCTTGTCAGCAGCCTACAAATACATTCACACAAGATGAAGATAATGTTTAGTGAAAAACAAATTTTTCCTTATGCGAGAACAAGAAAAAGTGAAAAGAGAGAACCAACCTTCTCTGGGTAGTATTCAAACGTTTTCTTCTTCAGTCCTGCTTCATATATATTGCATTGAGAGAATACCTGATCACAGAAACATAACTATCCTCAACTAAAGCTATTGGCTTTCTAGCCATCTCTATAAAAGAATAGTTTTTACCTGAGCTTCCACACTAGCACAAACAGCATATATACCCCAGTTTCTTGTATAATTGTTATACAAATGAACTTTCCCAAACCTAAGACGAGGCTGCCTCTGCCTAGTCCCATCAAAGAAACAATGATGAATAGTCACCCGAATACACCTATCATCAACATGAGAAGGATCTGCTCCAATCAACATCGTCTTATCATGCTGCGCAAAGTAACATCTACAAAACCAAAACCACAAAACTAAGCACCAAAACAAACATTCCCTTAAAAAAACAACCACCTAAAAAACCTCACCTAGAAACAGTGATATCAGTACTCTGCCTAGTGATATCAATAAGTCCATCATCATAATCCCTTAAGCTACACCTATCAATCCAAATGTGTCTAGACTTTGGCTTAATCTGAATCCCATCAACATCATGACCTCTCCCACCTTCAAACTCCAAATTACAAATTATGATATGTTCACATTCTTTAAGCCTTATCCCTTTCCCTGTGATCTTGATCCGTTGTCCTCTTCCATCGATCGTCTTGTGAGACGATACGCTCAAGTACGAATTGAGATTTATAGTTCCGGAAACCGCGAACACGATCCATAACGGCTCTTTTCTCCTTCCTCCTTCTCGAAGAGATCCAGGTCCATCATCTAATCAATCACACACATATGAAAAATCATGGCTCGAAACCGAATTCGAAAGCGAAATTAAGCTCGAGTTACGTGTAGATCGAACCTGCGAGAGATGTGACGACGTAGAGATCTCCGTGGAGGCCACCGACGGCGAAGCGGCCGAAGCCTTCGGCGCGGCCGGCTAAAGCTCTGAGGTTGCAATCGACGTCGGCGTATGGTAGCGTGGTCATCGTTTCGTCGTTATACGACGTCGTCTAGTGTGTCTCTGAGTTTTCTTTGGAATTAAACAAACGTTTTAGAACCAGAATAGTAGTCTGGTGAAAGTAAAGATAGACGATTTTTATCCGTCTGGTAAAATAGTAATGTCCCTCTGTTTGAAACTGTAAATAAATCACTAATTTTTAAAAATATATTATTTAAAAAACATTATTTAATGTATAAGTTCAACCAAAATTATTTTTTTACGTTATGAAATTGATCACACAATACTCAATAAATATAAAAATTAATTGTAAGGTTAAAACTATATACATTTTTAATATTTTTTAGGGTCAACAATCTATTTTCCCACGAAAACTATTATATATCATCAGATATCCACCGAACTATGACCTCGTGCTAGATTTCCATGAATCGAAAGTTACAGATTTATTTCTCCCTGAATCGATAGTTCGAAACATAATTGTCCATATACTATGATTTTTATTGGTTTATTGTTAACCATATAATTTAAACCAAATAAACATGTCAATAATCTATTTTTTATCAATAAGGAAAATGTTAATATACTATTCAAACTCCACACTATCATACTATTATCAAAGTAATTTTGAAGATTTTCATATTTTGAGACATTTTGAAAATTCATTTTTTGATAAAATTGATTTTTTTTGTTTGGTTTTAAAGTTGTTTGGTTAACAATAAACCGGTTAAACTATTTTTATGTGTAATTAATTTCTAAACTATTAGTTCGAGTAGAAATAGATTTCGAACTATCGATTCAAGGTGAAATAAGTTTATAACTTATAATTTGGGGAAATATGTGCACGAGGTGATAGTTCGATGGATATCTGATGCTATATGATAGTTTTTGTGGAGAAATAACACGTTTATCCTATTTTTAAATGATTGAGATTAAATAGTTTCTTGTTTTTTAAACAGACAAAAATAAACAGTTAAGTATTTAACATTGTTGTTTACTTCACAAAAATTATGCAAAATGAATTAAAATTAAATGAATTTTTTTTGTGCTCATACACGGAAGTCAATATTTAAAATTGAATGATCATATTAACTGATTAAATTGTTAACTTATAAATTTTAATATTTTTATATTATATGCTTGAAAAAATAAACAATGTAAAAATTTTATAATGTAATTTTGCTTATAAAAACTTTGATTAGTTAATTTTTTTTTGATATTTTCGATTGCAATCAACCGCCTTTGTTTCTTGATTCTGAATTAGTTAAAATCAAACTATTGTATAAATTGTAATAGTTTTATTATTATATGCATGAAAAAATAAAGAATGTAAAAATTTTATAATGTAATTTTGCATATAAAAACTTTGATTAGTTATTTTTTTTTGGATATTTTCGATTGCAATCAACCGCCTTTGTTTCTTGATTCTGAATTATTTAAAATCAAATTATTGTATAATGTGTGTTTTTTTTTTTATCTTATATAAATATATTAGGATAAGACATGCGCCTTGTGTATGGTGAGTGTATGTAATTAAAATATAAAATTTTAGTATTCACAAATTTAAAATTTACATATGATTGTTTTTATATGTATTTTGAATTTTGGAATTTTTATATAATTATTTATACGTAGGATCAGAAACAATTGTAATTAGAACTGTAGATTAAAATTATTAATGCGTCTGGTTCATATATCTTTTCACTTTTTAGTGTTTGAGAAATGGAAAATAAACATAGTGTCACATGGTTTAACTGGTTGAGCATTCTCAAGTTCCATAAAAGTTTATTAAGAAGCAGTTGGTAGAATATTCGCATTTAGAATATATAAAGTTTCAAAACTAATTTAATATAATTTATTAGCTTTCTAACAAAATCAGAAAATTATATTTTAAAAAATTAATTTTTAAACAAAAAATAATTTTTATAAAAAATCAAGTTAAATTTTCAATTATAATTATGTTTAAAATAGAATTATTTATTACGGTATGAGATATATATATACATATATATATATATATATATATGTATATTAATATAAACACCTATTAAATAAAATTATTTATTCATATGATTTTATAATCACGGTAACTTATTATAGAAAAAAAATTTAGACCTTGATCACAAAAGTTTATCTGAGATTTTTAACAGTTTTAGTAATTTAAACTTGTTTTGAGAATTTCAAAATACAACATATATAAAAAATGCTAAATTTTTATTATATGATTAGTGTAGTTGTGTAATTTATTTTAATAATAAAAAAATTAAACAGAAATGATATAAAGTATACAGATTGTTAACAAATCTTTATTATTTAAAATCATTAATAGTCATATATATCTTAATCACATTAGGTAATTCCGTAATTTTTATTTAAAGAAAGAATATATAGGATATTTAGTTTGATATGTCTTATATGAAACAAACGGATTTTGTTTTAAAACTATGTTTTATATGAGATGCTCAAGAATTCTTCTAAGTAAAATTTCGTAGAGAACTGCCACATAAGATAGGATTTTTTTAATTAGTACAAACTTAAGTTTATAACTTTTTAAATGATCTTCAATTAATATATTGAAGACTTTCTGTGTACATTTAAATCAATCGATTATTCTTATTTATTGACAATCATTTTATGGTAAGTAAATCAACACAATCATTTTATCTATCATATATTAGATACAATTAAATTTAAATGAAATTAACAATATCTATAATATATTTTAAATATGGATGTTTAGTAAATGAATTTTCTCATTATAAGGTTTTATGATTATCAATATATTTTTATAACAAAATTTTGAACTATTAAAAGTTGAATGCATATTTTAAAATTAAAATATTAGATTCTCAATATTTTCAATGAAAATATCAAAATATAATTATTTATTTTATATGGTATGTAATTTAATTTAAATTATATATGTATTAATATAAACATATTAAATAAGAAGTCTTACTCATGTATTTTATAATTATTTGTATCTTCTTATAATAAAAATTTAAATCATTGATCACAAAAAGTTTATTTAAGATATTTAACAATTTAGTAATTTATAACCGTTTTAACTAATTCAAAATATAATATATACGAAAAATATTAATTTTTATTATATAAATAATGTAATTGTGTAAAGTAGTTTAATAACAAATATTAAACAAATATGGTAGAGGGTATAAAACTTGTTATCAAATATTTATTACTGAAATTATTAATTGTCATATCACTACAAGAAAACGCGGGCATAACAACCACAGATATAGAGGTAATTTGGTAGTAAATCGACTTTTACGACCACACAAGAACGAAAACCGTTTAGTCGTAAACAGCCCGTCGTAATAAAGTTTTGGTCGTAATGTGGACTTAACTATTACGACTAAAAATATTGGTCGTAACACAAACGTAAATAGAGTGGTCGTACTCTGGATGTGGATTTGACGTAAAGTTACGTCCAATCAGTTGGATGTTATGTGGTCGTAAATCTTGGTCGTAAAGTGGAAGTCAAATTCGACGTAAAATAGTATTTAAATAGAGGTAACGTGTACGACCACATAACCTCGATTCTTGAACAATAGACACAACTTGGTCGTAAAATGTACGACCAGATAACTTCAATTTGATTTATTTAATACGACCAAATAACCTCTAGAGATATAATAAAATTTCACTTTTAAAATCCACAAATTTAAAATTTTTAATTTAGGAAATTTAATATTTAATTAAAAATCATTCATTTCGAAAAGAAATTTAACTTAATATATCCAAAACATAATAAAAATATATATTCAAATTACATAAGAAAACTAATTAATTATTAAGATTAATGTCTGCGAAAAAGTCGGTGCTATGTTCATCGACTCCTCGCTCTGCATTTGCTCGTTCTTCTGGAGTTAGGTTGGGATAGATCGTTGAACGTCGAGGTCTCCATAATTCCGCAAGGGCTGGGTTTGTTTCCGCCATAACATCGAACATCTCCGCCATGGCCCTAATGTGGTTCCTGTTGGCCTCGTTGTCCGTCCGGAGGGTCGAAATGACTTGGTTGGCGGTTGTCAAATCGGTTCGGAGCTGCTGAGATTCTTCTTGTTGTCTTGTAGCGTATTCAGCTCTAGCCCTCAGGACATCGTTCACCGTACCGATCCCGATCATCCGTCCCCTCTTCTTCGGGATAACCTTCATTGTAAAAAATTTAAATTAATTAAATTAATTACTATATACATATATAAAATCGAATAATAATTAATTACCTTCTCAAAAATTTTGTCTTGTTCAACGATGGATAACTGAACGGGTTCCCCTTGTTCCACCGTCAACTGGGTCTGGACCTCCTGAATCTGCTGCTCAACATCGTTGTAGATCTTTTCTGCACGAGGATCTACGAACGTCCCGTCAGAACGCTGATGGGTCAACTTGTAAAGTCGGGCAAGAGACGGTGGTGCTCCTTCCACCGCAGCCTACAGAACAACATAATTAAATATATTAAACTAATTAATTAATATATCAATTATAAAACAATTTAATTATTAAAAAGGTAAAAAGAAATTAAAAATTAAAAAAAAACATTTACAAAAGCTTGTACTTACAATTTGTAGAGCTTTCCCTGCGTGAGAAATCTGTCCAGGAGTGTGGGGCACAACGACCAAATTACCCTCAGCATCACGCGCCATTCGGTTGTTGGAGCAACGGGCCGAATTCTTAACTGACTTCGGCAGACTCCAATAAGCCGTCAAGCCATTCCAAACGTGATCGCTGATATAGGTCGGTTTACATTTTCTGATAAATAATATAATCCCGTGCTAAATCAATTCCAAACCTAATCTAATTACCACCTAAACTAACCACCTAAACTAATTACCACCTAAACTAAAACTAAAACTAAAACCGAAAAAATAATAATAATAATACCTGAGGAGAGGGAAAGTGGTGGGTAGTGAGAGAGAGTTGTGAGCGACGAAGTGAGCTCTGCTCGACGAGTTTATATAGGGATTTACCTTTGGTCGTAATGTGGTTGTAACCTACTTCTAGATTACGACCAAAATCACATTACCACCACTTAGGGACCACGCATTACG